GGAAGAAAATGCCAGGCATAAAAACTGTTAAAGAGAGAATCTTTGATTCCTAGTTTGGAAATGAATCATAGAAATTTTGTTTCATTTTTCTTCTCTTAGCCAGTGACCTTCAATTTCTTTCTTTCTTTTTTGTTAATCCTCACCCAAAGGTATTTTTCCATTAATTTTTAGATAGAGTGGAAGGGAGGGAAGGAGAGAGAGAGAAACATTGATGTGAGAGAGACACATTGGTTGGTTGCCTCTCACACGACCTCAACCAAGGCTGGGGATGGACATACCTGCAAACCCAGGCATGTGCTCCCAAGTGGAATCAAACCCAAGACCCTTTGGTCTGCAGGCTGATGCTCTAACCACTGAGCCAAAGTGGCCAGGGCCAGTTACTTTCAATTTCAATTTGACCTTGTTGGCATCTGCAGTCTTGTAGTATAACTGATAAATTTCGAAAATTTTCACATAAGTTATTTTGGCTTTAGGGTACATTTCACCTCCCCACTTTATATCCCCAAGTTCTGACTGAGATACATTTCAGTGTTTTTATGAAAGTGGAAACATTGACCTGGTCACAAAGAATGAGAAATGTAACCACATCTGGCTGTGACATAGTTATTTAGTGACATTGAACTTTGAATTTTTTCATAGGAAATTTTGGGAAATGCATGACATTAAAAAAAACAAAGTAGACATATTTTGACAATTCATGAAGCATGTCTGTCAGTTATCATTGTTGAGTAGCATCAACCCACTCCAAAAATTTTGTGTCTTAAAACAGTGACCATTTATTTGCTCACAATTAGGTCAGGGCAGTTTCTTAGCTGGTCCTGCCTGTCCTGAGGTCCCTAATGTGGCTGTTGTCATTTGAAAGCTCCCATTAAAGCTGGTTGTTCTAGGCACCTCTAGCTGGAGCAGCTGTCTGAGCTCCACTTGCTCTCATCTCCAGCAGCTGGAGTAGATTTTCGCACCTGGAGGCACCTTATTCCCTTAGCATGAGAGCTGCAAGGCTTATTGAGGCCTGGGCTTAGAAGTCACACAGTGTCGCTCTGCCTCATTCTCTTGGTCATAGCCAGCGCAGTCCAGCACAAATTCAAGCAGTTGGAAATAGACGCCACCTTTTGCTGTGAGGTCTGCCCTGTGTGTCTCACAGGTCTTGCCTACTGGAAACTGGGTGAAGTTGGGGTAGGGGTCATTGTTGAGGCCATCTTTGCAAACAATATGCAGCTTGCTTTTGATATATTAACTAAATTTCCTGTATTTGCTGTGACTGATAAACTGCTGTGAGGAGCAGTGCTAAGTGCTTCCCTGTATTATCTCATAGGATAACAGTTGTATGAGGTAAGTAGTAGTAGTATTCCCATTTTAAAGGTGTGATGAGTGAGCTTTAGGGAGGTTAAGTAACTTGTCCTAGATCTTTTACCTAGTTAGGGGCAGATCCTAAAAGTTAGGGAAAATTTATTCCTATACCAGTGTTTCTTTTTTAAGAGATACACACACACACACACACACACACACACACAAATATATATGTATATGTGTGGATGTGTGTGTATATATTCTTTATTGATTTTAGAGAGAGAGGAAAGGAGAGGGAGAGAGAAACATCGATGAGAGAGAACATCGATTGGCCGCCTCCTGCATGCCCCCCACTAGAGATTTGGCCCAGAACCTGGGCATGTGCCCTGACTGGGAATCAAACAGGCAACCTCCTGGTGCATGGGTTGACGCTCAACCACTGAGCCACACTGGCCAGGCTATACCAGTGCTTCTTAAACCCATGGCTGAAAAACTTTCATGCGGAAGGGAGAGTGAGAAGTAGAAGGAAACATATCTTTAAAATATCAATAGAAAATCCAATTATCTTAATATTTTACATGAATTTGATATTCTATTCCATGATACATTCCTTTATTTTACCATCAAATTAATAGTTTAAGTTGCTTGCCAATCAGATTAAATTTACCCCCCAAATCTTTGAGAAAATGGATTCTTCTAGACTTGAAATAAAAGCTAATCAGCTAAAGGCCTTTGGTTGTAAGCAGTAGAAACCTATCCAGCTAACTGTTTTCAACCCTACTCTCTACTGAGAGAGTGTCTCCCAGGCCCAGAATGGCCCTTAACATGTGCTTGGTTACTGCCTCACCCAGAAAAATACCTACTAGGGGAGTTGTCACTCCCCAGCAAGGGGAGTGGATGTAGAGCTGGTATAACCAGCAGGTGCCCACTCTCAGAACACTTGTGGGCTACTATGTGAGAGTTGCTTTGTGTATTATCTATCACATTTAAGATGCAACACCCCAATGTCCCCCTGGCTCACTCTTTCCCCTCCCAGCCCACATGCCTCCAAGGGTTTTTAAACCAGAGTTTGAGAAGCACTCTTGTGACTCTGTGCCATCTATTTCCATTTCTGCTAATCAACCCTTTTTTACCTGATAATCATTTCTAAATCATACACATTTCCCTGAGTTTTAAAGGAAAACATATGGACTCTAATTTAACCATTTCTTGGTAACAGGGTCCCTGTTAAGAACATTTTTACCCAGTGCATAGTGACCCCCTCCCCCCCCTTAGGACACAGTGAAATAAATTGGTCCTTGCACTAAACTTCAAAGTACCCTGCATTTGTTTTTCTGTTTCCTGCTGGTGTCTAGCTGCTTTCATTGTAACCTTGCTAATACTTTAAACATTGTAGACCTTACAGCTCATAGGCTGAAGGGCCAACCAACATTATATACCCCTTATTGTTTAAGTTAAACCATGTTTCCAACAATAAATGTGCAAATCCAATGTGATTTTATTCACAGCATTTTCACATATATACTGTGTTTTATTTTATACTCTAATCTTTTGAAGTCAGAGAAGACAAGATTTTTTTCCCCATTTTTCAGATGAGCATGTGACTTAGAAAAGGCAAGCAGTTTCCCCTGTAGCATTGGACTGTTGGCAGGAGAACCTGGGTGTTCTAACTACCTGTGCCGTTGCTGAGGGCAGTTCTAGAACAGTGGTTGACCAACTGCAGAAGCCCGTTTTCTGGTTTCTAGAGGTTCTGAGCTGAATTGGAGATGGATACACCTGTGTTTGGCCTTTATTATGTGGGGACATTGGGGTGTAAGGAAGGTGTGTAGTAGTCACCTTGGTCATTAGCAGCCGCTTTCTGTTTATTCTTGCTTTTGAGGCTCCGCATCTTTTCATTTCCCCACAGATACCCACATTGAGGAGTCGACTTACCCCACCTCTTTTAGCAGTGATTAGCTGGTTTTGAAGTACCTCTTGGAGCCCTTTTTCACTTCCTCCTAGTGTAATTACCACCTTGCGGCATAGTCACTTGTCCTCTCAACCCCTGGACTCTTCTTTTAAATGGTCTGCTCTGTTTTCTACTGTTCAGGTCCACCACTACAAGAGATTTTGAGAAGAGCACTTGGCACATTTGTTTAATTAGGGTCTCCAGGCAGTTTTCTGTTAACAGTAGTGTTCTATGATAGCTCTTTCCCCCATGCTTTTAAATTTTCGTTGTAGTCTGAACCATCAAACTTACTCCTAGTGGTGATTTGATGGTTCTGTTTGGCCAGACCTTTTGGTAAACAGAGGGATCCCACGCTTTTCCCTAACTTTTAGAACCCTGTCCTAACATTTAACACTAGTTTTTAAATTGTTCTTTTCAGTTTGTTTCAGGCCCCGATTTCTACAGCTTCTTACCATGTTCTATTAACTCTTAACACTAATCAAAAAACGGCATTTCTCTTGCATTTCTAATTTGTCTCATGGTCTTATTTTTTGTAGACATTTTGAACTTTTAGAATCCTGACCTTAATCCTGAAAAGAGTGCTAGCAAAATTTTCATTGAAAAATACATACTTTTATTTCTTTATATTTTATTCATTGATGTCTTTAAGTTTTAACATGCTGAACACAAAGGAATTTATAGTGGTCTGGCACATAACTCTTCTTAGATGCTCTAAGAGGAGATATTTAAGACTCGATATTTAAGTTCTCTATCCCTTCCCCTCTCCACCCTTGTTTATTATCATTCTGATAGTTATAAGTATAAACCACTTGGAAATCAAAGTTAGAAAAGAGACCCTTTGCTATTACATTAGGACAGTTTAAAAGGAATCAGTTGTTCAAATTTACTAGCTTCCTGAAGCTAGTAAAGCTATTTATAGATTCCAAGTTTCTCTGTTAATATATGTCAACACTACAAGACAGTAAATAACACGTGTAGCTATTATAGATTATGAGAAAGGTAGCTCCTAGAAAAGGAAGTATTTCAGTTTTCTGTTTAGAAGTCTAAATAATACTAAACTGAAAAATCAGTTGTCTTAGTAAACAGCAGTCATGAATTGGTAGTAAGCAGGTTTCTTAGTGTGTCTGTTGCTTTAGCTAACAGCCAGCAAAGATTAGCTTTCTTTTCCATAGATCTGGTGTCAAGTATTAATCAACTGTAGACTGGAAAGTTTTTATTGGCTAGCATTTGTAGTGGAAGAAACACCAGTCTGTTTTTTATCTGTAGTCTCTTAACCCTATTACTGGATATGATATCATCTGTGTGTTCTTACAAAGAAAAACAGTTCTGTTCCTTTTCATGTGTATTAGGAGTACTTTAGAGTATGAAATTGTGAATTTTGACCTTGAAGACTTTAAATGATCTCAGTTAAGGTCATGATGTATGCCAGAAAAAAATTTACACATTAAATCCAATTTAGCATTCTTATTTTTCACATTTTGAATGGCTTCTTAAGTTTTAAAATGTTCATAAAATGATTATATTGTTGAAAATCTTAAAAAACAAGCGAAGAAATGTGATTTTGATTTTGAGTTTCAAGAATTACATAAATTTGGTTCTTAGGAAACCAAATTCCTGAATACTTACAGGGTCTTTGTTTAATAATTTTTCCCTGATTGCAAAAATCATAGGTGTTTGTAAAAATCTGGAAAATTTCACACATAAACAGAAGGAAATAAAAGTTACTCATATTTCTACTTCGCAGACATACCACTTTTAACATTTGATGAATATCCACCCAGCTGCTTATAGAGTTTCCCAATAAAATATCCTTTGAAATGAATGCTTTGAGGTAAGGGTCAGGAGTGGTAGAAATAGATATATAGTGTGAACTCAGTTTTGTTAATCCCACTGCCTCTCTCAGGTGTTGCCTTTAAGCTGAAGAAAAGGGGCTTTGCCACCAGGATGGAAAAAGAGATCTCTCTTTCCCGTGGCCAGCCGTGGCTGGTGTGGATAGAACATCTTTTCCGCAGACTGCCACTTATCTGCCTGTGTCTTTATCTTAGCAACTCTGTCAGCTCTAAATGCCTGCTGGTTGCAGAGGAGATCATTTGAGTTCTTGTTGGAATAGCTTGTTGACATAAACAACAATCAGTTCTTATCAACTCCCTGAAAGAATTCTTTAAATCCACTGTTACTCAAAGTGAATGTCCCAATACTCAGAAATATAGTAACTTCCAGGTTACCTGTACCAAGTGAAAGCAAGGTGGAGTGTTTAGAGACTCCCAGGTGATTCCCACTTAACATCTAACCTTCAATCCAGTCGCCTTGGTAAAAGAAAAATCCAAAGAAGCTCAGAGCAGATTATGGTATAAACATATGCCAGTCCTCTCCTGTGGAGAAGAAAAGTTAATCTGTTAAGGAGACAGGCAAGGCTGAGCAAAGCAGAATTGTCTCATCCTGCTTATCTTTCACTTTAGTGAAGAAGAAAGATTTATCCTGGAATGGAATGGAATGGAATGGAATGGAATGGAATGGAATGGAAGGAAGGAAGGAAGGAAGGAAGGAAGGAAGGAAGGAAGGAAGGAAGGAAGGAAGGAGAAAAGAAAAGAAAAAGAAGGAAAGATCATGGGCAGGTGGCTAGTAATACAAGATGGTTGGCTCTTTTTCTGTGTGCCTTGGCTAGTGGTAAGCAGATCCTCAGGTCTGAGAAAGTAGCAAAGTCAAGTGACTTTGGGCAACTTCCCAAAGACACAGGGCAACTTCCCCAGGCAGTGATACAATTTATTGGTATTCAGGGTGAATATACAATGCTGACTTTGATTCAAGCCCTCAGCAAGAGGAAACCCAGAGAGAAGTAGGAAGAAGTGGTATCTCTTTGTAAATGTTTTATTCTTGACATGTAACAGACTCCTACCTAGAGAATTTTAAGTGTCAGCTCCTTCATTCTGCCTTTCAGGAGCACCTCCTGTGTTCTCCTGTGCTGACCAGTTTAAAAGGTGTCAGTTCTGCCTGAGAACTATAAGAACTTACATGTAGTGCTTGGTGTGAAGAAATTGCTTTGGAAGATGAATGACCATTGTGGTAACTGTTCACAAGCAAAGGAGGGAGATTGCTGGTTTTACAAGTCTATGGTTTGAATTCATAGGTCTGGCAGGAAATAGAGTCCAAGGAAGATAGTTCAGGAGACTAAGGAAGAAATTATTTTCAGAGGTGTGGGCAGAGTTAAGGGTGACTTGGGGTTCCTTCACCCAGAAACTAACAGCAGTGAGAAGCTGTTATTAGGTCCAAAGGAGCAAAGAGAAGAAATAACATTCATTCCTGGAGTCCAGGGAAAGAGCTGGAGCCATAGAGGAGGAGCCAACTGAGAGGAGCGATAGTCCTGGGGGGATTCGACCACTGCCAGGAAATGTAGCCCAGAATTGCGGGGGAGCAGGGGGGGAGAGTGGTTAGAAGCCCTATTCTCCTCCCCTACTTTCTTTCCCCCCTCTTTGATCTTCTTCCAGTGCCTTCTATTGGCCAAACCCACCTGGAAGCCTGCCTGCAGGAACCCAGTGATGCTACCCATAGAGGTCAGCCTATGGGCACAGGGCATGACCAGAATGGTGGAAAATTAGTTGGGGATGAAAAGAGGGCTCAAACAGAAAATTACTAGCATACCCTAGTAGCATATTCTTAATCCTGCTTTCATTGTTTTATCTCATCGTTCTCATCTCCTGAAATCCCAAAATAAACCTTAAAGCATGTGAACTATTGATTAGGACTCAGTTCTGTCTTTTAACATAAATAGTCCAAATAGTTAACCTTATCAGAGTAATTATTCAATGAAAGAACCTGAACGATCCTTAGGAGAATTGGAAAATCACTGCAAATCCTTCTGTTGGAGCATTTTGTTCTTAGTTAAATTTAAACCAGGATTTTTTTTTAATTATGCATATGAACTATACAATTGATTTATCCTAAAATATAAAAATTATACTTTAAATAATACATTGGTGAAATGAGTTTTTGTTGTTAAAGTCAAGCTACAAATGGAAAGTGGAACTTATTTTATGTCCTAGCATATTATCCCTTCAGATCTATTTAACTAAGGTGGGATGAATTGGCAAGAAGATTCTTACTTAGCCAATCTAAATATAAGAAGAGATTTTTAGGTATTAAAAGCGGGTCTAACCCTGGCCAGTTTGGCTCAGCGGTTGGAGCGTCGGCCTGTGGTCCAGAGAGACCTGGGTTCGGTTCCCGCTAAGGGCACGTACCTCAGTTGCAGTTTGTCCCCAGCCTTGGTTGGGTCGTGCAGGTGGCAACCACTCGATGTGTCCCTTTCACGTTGATGTTTCTCTCTTTCTCTTTCCCTCCAACTCTATCTGAACCAAAAAAAAAAAAAAGGAAAAATGTCCTCAGGTGAGGATAAAAAATAAAATAAAAGCAGATCTGTTTCAATCCATAGCTTTATTAAACATTTGGTTTTGAGAGATATAAAGATAAGAAGGTCTTTACTTTCAGAAACTTATGTGCAGTGAAGAGAGGTACACACTCAACTATAATAATCAGTGACGGGTACTTTAGGGGAGGCATCATCTGTGCAGTGAAAAAGAAATGGTTCAGTTTGTCTGTACCAGAAACTTTCATATGGCTCACATAGGGTATCAAAGTCCACACTTTGTCCAGCTCTGGTCATTTTGTGCCTTTTATTACTGTTTCATAAGGAAAGTCCAGCTTTTGGTGCTTTCCTATTGCTTCAAGGGTGGATGGCATCCAGAACCCTTCCCATGTCCTTCAGCGGTCTTCTGATCTGGCCCCACCTCCATATCCAGCCTCCTCTGGCCTTTTAGTCCCTCAGATTTGCCATGCTTCCTCAGTCTTTCTCGAGATTCTTTTTGCCTGAATGCCTGCTGCCACCTTCATCTTCGAACACCTCTTCTGCCTCCTGGTCCCATTTTGAATGCCACTTCCTCACAGAAGTCTTCCCTGACCTTCTAGACAACATCCAGGAATCTTATTACTTACTCTAAGACCCATATGGATTCAGATACCCTGCTATTCTCCTTCAGGCACCTTTCATCTTATCTGTGCAAAGGTTTGATGGCCATCTTCCCTCCCAGAATGTAAGCACATGAGAACAGTGTACATTTCTGCCTTTTTCACAGCTATGTCCTCAGCACCAAGCATGGTGCTTAATAATGGTCCTCAATCAAGAATTGTAGAAGAAAGGAAAAGCACTGGCTCATCAGTTCTTTGACCTTTGCTATCTGGTCACTTGGGGTCTCAATTGCTTATCTGTGTAATGGGGGTAATGATGACAATGGCACTTAGTAAGTGCCAGACACTGCTTTACCAGTGTCATCTCTTCAGTTAATCCTCACAGAGCTGAAATAACTTGCTTGAGGTCATACATAATAGACAACAGGATTTAAATCCTGGTCTGTAAATCCAGGAAGGGATTATTCTTCTCCAGACTTTTATGTGATTGTCCTGGGGGTGAAACCTGCTGAGGAGGCTGACATTTGAAGAAGCAGGCTGGAGAGCTCATAAACCAGTTTTGGGAAGTCAGAGTGTGGGATTAACTCCATTTAGATTAAGTGAATTCTAACCTGAGTAATGAAGAAGCTGGATCTAGAGGCAGCCTGTAGTGCAAATGTCCTGAGGCACCAACTGGGGCCAGTAAGTGCCTGGGGGGTTGGGCCAGGGAGTTGCTACTTTCTGTAAAATGCTACAGGGAAACCTTGATGGGCTTTAGGTATTGAAAATATTGTGGAAGTAGGAAGTCCCAATTTGGAGTCTTTTTAGGGGCAGAAGGGTCCAAAACTGTTCTCACAGATTGTGTGTTTGATTCTTTCATTCTACTGTAGCACCCAGCACAACAGCATTTGGAAAGGAATCAGCTGTGTGAGGTAAGGAATGGATGTTTACCTTTGGTTGTTTGGTGTAATTCTGTTGTTGTTTGTTCTTGGTTTTTGTTATGGAAGATTGCTTAGCCCAGATGGGTGGCAGCCTTGCACAAGTTACTTCACCTCTTTGGCCTGTTTCTCATTTGGAAATTAAGGATAATTAAAATATCTACCTCATAGACTTATGCAACATCCACACAGTGCCTGGCACAAAAGAAGCATTCCAGCAATGTTAGCTGTATTGTTGTTAACATTTCCTGTCCTTTCTGGCCCATGCCTCTTGAATGAATGTGCATTGTTTATTTATTAAAGATGAGTTGACTGGGACATAGAAATTGACATAGTTTTAAAGATCGTGACTTTTGGGTTTACAAAGATAGTAAAATTGGCAATGAAAAAAGACAGTGAAACACCTTAGTGGGGCAGGCCTAGTTTCCTAGATGTGTTGATGATGAAATACAAAATGTGAATGTGAGCTAATTCTTACAGAACCATTGTGTGTGCCTGGAGTAAGTTTTCTATGTGTTCTCCCTGAGAAGTAGGTTTGATTATATCTCTTTTACAGATAGGGAAGTTGTGATCATCTCTTTGTAAGATGTGATCAGATGATTGGAGAGGTAAACTTTAAACCATGTGCTTCTCTAGTATGTACTAGGCAAGCACATTATGTCTGGTGCTTCCAATTATTCTAATAGATTAGAAAAAATTAAGAGCCTTGTTTAAACTGCATAACTTTAAAACATACAAACCACAAATAAGAAGGTGTAGCTGCTGCTGTAAGTCATCACTATTGTATTTCAAAGCCAGATCTGGCTGATTTCTTTTTTCTTTTAGCTCAAGTAATTAAGAGTTGATATGAAGAAAATACCATTTAACAGTAATGGGGGAGAAAGCAGGAAACCTGTTGTATAGGACATCAAGCATGCTGCATTTAATTCTAGATTTTCTCTCCTTTTCCCCAACAACAGAAAAAGAAATTGTGTTACTTTTGGAGGAATTTCATTATGATAAGATATTTTTTGGCTATATCAAACCTGAAAAGTAGCCAGTTAGATGGTAGTTTGATTACTAAGTATCTTCTTGATGGTTTATCATGTCACAAAATGAAGATACTTAGAAATAATTATAAATAAAATATACACTATAAATAAAATATAGACATAAATTACTAGTGTAAATATGAACATATAAGATGTAATATAAATATAATAAAATAATATAAAACAAATATCCATGAGTCTCTACTGATATAAATAAATAATTGAATCAGTAAGCAAATGAAGGAGAATAAATAAACCTTCTGTGTAGAATTCTGAATGTTTTATGTTGCTAATTCCCTGACAGGAGGTGAAATGAAACATTAACTCTCGTTCCTTAAATGTGGACTGTGCATAGTGCCTTCCTTCTGAAGAGTGCAGCATGGAAAGGGGGAAATAATGACTTTACAGTGGAGAGAGCTGACAAACAAGACTTCAGCCAGGTGATCACATTAGCATGGACAGTGATAAACATGGCCTTGATGGAACGTAATGAAGATGGCTAAGTCTGTGCCCCCCCCCAGCCCCCAAATCCCATAATCCCATGATAATCATGAGAAAAATATTAGACAAACAATTGGAGACTTTCTGCAAAATACCTAACTAGTACTCCTCAAATCTGTTGTCAGAGTCATCAAAAGGGTTCAGTCTGAGACATTGTCACAGTCTAGAGGAGGAGTAAGGACATGTGGCCGCTAAATGTAATGTGAGATCCTGGATGGGATCCTGGAACAGGAAGAGGACATTAGGCAAAAACTAAGGAAATCTGAGGTGTGGACTTCAGTTAATAACAATGTGACAAGCCCTGGCCGGTTTGGCTCAGCAGTTACAGCGTCGACCTGCAGCCCAGAGAGACCTGGGTTCGGTTCCCGCTAAGGGCGTGTACCTTGGTTGCAGTTTGTCCCCGGCCCTGGTTGGGTCATGCAGGTGGCAGCCCCTCCATGTGTCCCTTTCATGGCAATGTTTCTCTCTCTCTCTCTTCCTCTCCCTCCTGCTCTATCTGAGCAAAAAATGGAAAAATATCCTCGGGTGAGGATAATAATAATAATAATAATGTGACAATATTGGTTCATGAGCTGTGACAAATGTAGCCAACTAATGTAAGAGGTTAATGATAGGGGAGACCAGGTGTAGGATATGTAGGAATTCTGAATAATCTGAACCACTTCTCTAAACATAAAACCATTCTAAAATTAAAAGTTTATTTCTAAAAATAAGATGATGGCAAAGACAAGCCATAGTCTTTTTGAAGCTATAGTTCAAGTTTAATTTTCATCATGCTGGGAGCCTGAAGTAAATAGAGCAGCAGTTGGTGCTCTGGACTGATTATGGCATAAAAGTGGGGCAACTCTTCCTTGCTGTTGTCTAGTAAAGCATGGCAGTTTGTCTGCAGAATCAGAGAATGCAGTATTTCTAAATGTTCTCCTGTGGAATTCCCTACCGACATGACTTTTCCCCCTTTGCTTCTGCCCAGTAGCAGTCCCTTGAGTGGCATTTGCTTGTCCTAGTTAATCAAAGGGTAGGATAAATGAAAAACTCTCCTCTTCCCCCTCCTCAGAAGTTTCAATGGGCTCTGGAAATGTAGGTCAAATTACATCACCACAGAAAGGAACGAACAGGAAGGTATGTATGAAGTGTTGCCAACCTCTCTTTGGATTCCGAGTCATGATGAACCAGTGTTGAGCAGCTTAGGTGTGATACAGGGAATCGGGGAGTCATGTTTTTGAAGTAGTCCTAGAATATATTAATCAGTGATTAAAAAAAAAAAAAAGATCTCTGTCTAAAGCCCTAATGAAAATAACTTACACTAGCTTTGTTTAATTTATGTCTTCAGTTTCTAGAATTCTTTTTGTTTCTTATTTATTATTGGCATAGGGCAGCAGTTTATATTAATTTAGCCAGAGAGATGTTTGAATTGTAGAAACTGTTGCCATGTATACATTTTTTTAAAAATCTCTTTTTTGGTAATCACACAAATCTAATAATGTAGTATTGACCCATGTACTAAGAGGTCGCTGGTTCGATTCCTGGTCAGGGCACGTGCCCAGGTTGTTGTGGGCCTGACCTGATCCCCAGTACGGAGGACATGCAAGAGGTGACCAATCGATGTTCTGTCTCATCAATGTTTCTAACTCTCTCCCTCTCCCTTCCTCTCTCTCTCTCTAAAATCAATAAAGAAAAATTATTTAAAAAATAATAATATATTTTTCAAATGATATATAATTGTCTGCGCAGTGGACTCTTGATTAGCATATAGAAATCACAAAATATGTTTTTTATCTTGTTATGTTTAAAGAATGCTGTTCCATGACTCTCTGTTTTTTAATGGCTAAATCTTACAGATTTTAAGATATAAGAAGTCTCTAAATGCATGTTTTTATTTTTACATATTGTATGCTACCTGTCCTTTGTAAGACATCAAATACTGGCTGCTTGAGTGGTCCTTGTGGCTGACCTTGTCATGAACAGTAAGCATCCTGACGGCAAAGCCTACTATATGTGACCATTTCCACTCTCTCCTTGCCTCCATCAAGAGCAGCCCTGGCCAGCTGGCTCAGTAGGTTGGAGCATTATCCCAAAGGTTGCAAGTTCGATACCTGGTCAGGGCACATACCTAGGATGCAGGTTCGATCCCCTGTCGAGTCACGTACGGGAGGCAACCGATCGATGTTTCTCTCTCCTCTCTTTTTTCCTTCCTCTCGCTCTAAAATCAGTAAACATATCATCAGATGAAGATAAACAACAACAAAAAAGGAAAGTCATAGAAAATATATTTGCAAAGGTTTGGGTATTATTTAACCTAATACATTGAATACATTATTCTGTGAAATATGTTTATGATCCCATATACTTTTAGGTAATTTTTTACTTTTTATTTTGAAATAATTGTAGATTCACAGGAAGTTGCAAAGATAGTACAGAGAGGTCCTGGTTACTCTTCAGGTTTCTCCCATTGATTACCTTTTACCTAACTGCAGTACAATACCAAAACCTAGTAGTTGACATGGGCAGAAAATATGTGTGTAGTGCCCTGGCCAGTTTGGCTCAGCAGTTGGAGAGTTGGCCTACAGAAGAGAGTCCCGGGTTCGGTTCCCGCTAGGGGCACGTACCAAAAAAATATATACGTGTGTGTGTAGTTACATGTATTTTTATTTGTGTAGATTTGTGTAATCACTACCACAGTCAAGACACAGAACTGTTTTATTACTGTCACTCCTCTGGAGTCAGTCATCCCTGTGTCCTCATAGTCCCTAACTCTTGGCAGCCACTAATCTCTTCTCTAACTCTGTAATTTGTCATTTGGGGAATGTTATACAAATGTGATCTTTTGAGACTGGCTTTTTTCATTCAGCATTTTAAAATGAATTTTATTTTGAAAACACCATTTATGTTCAACATTTTTAAGGAATATTTATTTTTAAAAGAAGTTTTAATCCAGAGTTTGATTCACTAATTTTCACACCTGCATTTTTCTAGCTTGAATATTCTATACTCTGCATTGATATATTTGAACAACCACTAACGTTGAGTGTGCCGATGTCGTATCTGATTATAGCATTAACCTTATTGCCTACTGTTAAGGCTGATACCATGAAGTTAAAGGGAAAATTACCACAGGAAAAGCCCATCAACAAAGTAGGTATTACAGTTGATTATTGAGCATGAGTAAGATGACTAAATGTATACTTAATGTATACCAAATGAAGTAACTGACCCATATTTGTGTTCCATTTCATCGCAAAGGAACTCTTAAAAGAAGAGAGACTTTTTGGAACATGTTTAAATGAATAGCAGTTGAAATATTTACATTAATTGGTTAATGTAAAGATCATGTCACAGAACTGTTTTATGTGATTAGTGTGAAATGTAACCATGTCAAAGCCAGTGTCTGCATCCTGTTAATCAGATTTTTTTAATGTCTTGAGTAGGAAATGAAGCCCTGGGGTAGATGAGGGCTGGGAACAAACAGCCTCAGAAGGAACAAATCTTCCTCAGATGCCTGTGTGTTGTTTTCTAACAAAATATAAAAATACTGTAGAAGCTGTCGGAGGGCCTTTTAGTATTTGGCTACAGATCGTGATATCAGGGCTGTAGGGAATCCCATGTGGCCAATCCTGCAGAACTGAGTCCTATGGCACCATTCCGCACCTCACTGGCTCCTTGGCTTGCCAGAATTCATGTTCCTGAAAGTTGTGTCTGGACAGCTTTTATGAATGAGATAATCTCGTAACTATGTGACTGGCAATTGGTCTTCATTTGGGTCTGGCTCCTACATTTTAGATGGTTTTCCTCCTAGATAGGAAAATATTCTTTGTAATTAAAATCAACCTCTGCTGCTGGGCTTAACATCTATCTATTGATCATCTTTGTTTTATTCAAGCAGCTTATGATTATACTTGAAGTAGCTACTGGGTTGGAGGAAAGGGGGAATGATCATGTATTGATCACTGAATGTCTTTAGACACTGTTCTAAGTGTTCACGCACATTCACACATAATTACACTATGATATTAAGTCATGGATCTGAAGTAAGCAGCATGCTAAGTAACTCTTCTGGCAAATAGGCTAATTTTCACGGTAACGTTTATTTAAGAGGTCTGTTGCCCAAAACTCTTATCTATCTATCTATATAACTTAATACATATTAATATAATTATCTATATAATTTAAGGACTATATATCTGTTCATTAATTTGTATATTCATGAGGCAGTGTGTGAATAATATGGAATATAGAGATGTAAAACCTACCACTTCTCTTAACATCTTTCTGTCTAGTTGAGGAAAACAAGTTACGAGAACAAGTGAAAACCGCTTAACCAATCAATACAACATGTATAATAAGACAGCCCATAATTAATTATCAAATACATTTTTCAGATTGTAAATGCTGTAAATTTTCAGAGGAAATGATCATTGATCTCTGACCTTTGATTTTTGTCACCTGCAAAAAGATGACATCTACCTCATAGTGAGACATGAATAAAATATATGTGTAAAGATTTAATATAATGTCTGTTAGTACACCTTCAATAAATTATAGTTGTGCTCTTGATAATGAAAATCTGACCGTAATTAGGACAATAGTAGTCCTGTATTGGGGTAGGCTGACTGCTACCACTACCCAAAACCTCAGTAGTTTAACATGATACATATTTATTTCACACCCAAGTCACAGTTCAGCATGGATTGGTAAGGAGGTTTTGGCTTCACCCAGTCATTCAGGGGTGAAATTTTGGGGCTCTCTTCACCTCTAGATGCTTGAATCCCTCTCTATTTGACCAGCAGAGAGACTGAGGATAAAGATAGTAAGTTCTGGATGGGCCACGCCTAGAAGTGGCCCCCAACCCTTTGTTCACATTCTAGGACTTAGTCATAGTTAGTTATACCTTACTGCAGTGCATGGTGGGATTCTAATCTAATTGTGTGCTCAGGAAGATCAGAATGTGGGTATAGGTGAATATGGCAATCTGTCACAAGTAATATTTAGAAAGGCTTAATAGAACAGGAGGGATTTTTCTTAGAGCTTTTAGAGAAGTGAAATTTGTAATAGGTTGCTGAACCTGCCTTTAGGTGAGTGGCATTATTTAAAAAGGAAGGATAGAAGATTTTTTTTTTAATGTTATAAGCGTTATTAATCCAATTATACATGTATTCCACTAGCCACTGCCTTCACTGTGAGTCCTTTAACTAGGACAGGCCTCCATTTCCTCTCTTGTTAACATTCTTCATAGGGCTGTGGTGAATATTAAACAAGACGGTACATGAAAGTTCTTAACACAGGGTCTGATCCACAGTAAATACGCAGGAGAAATTATTACTGGTGGTATTAATAAGTGTGGTCCCAGAGATGAATGCTTACTAGCTGTTCATTTACTAGACGTCTTTTTTAAAGGACCATGTTAGACTAGCAAAGAATGATTCAACTGAGGATATTTACATGCATTTTAGAATTCTGTAACCCCAGGCCAGTAATAAAAGATTAATGTACCCCTGGTGCAATATTGGGGGAGAAGCCTTCTCTGCCACCCAGGCTCCCCTCCCTTCAGTCAAATCCCTAGACTTGATTCCCCTATTAAGAGGACCGGGCACTGCCCTTTAATTTACCTCTCATCCCTCTCCCCTTTCTTCAGTGCTGAGATCTGTAGGTAAGTTTGGCTGGGACAAGTGATAGTAAATGCCAGAATAGCTATTTACTGCTCAGGCCTAACTCTAAGTCTTTAGCAAGATAAGAACATACCACCCCAGGCACATGTTAACCAGAATGGGGGTAGCTGTCAAAGCCTGTGGTTCCATTTAATCCAGTTCTATTCAGCAGGCATTTATTTTTGCTTGTCCGGCCCTGGGGATGCAAGGATGAGATGAAATGTTTCAGGCACTGCCTCTAAGAAGTCCACTTAGGGAGGTAGGTGTGTTGACATGAAGAGATTTTATCTGAGCTAGGTTTTCAAGGCTGGAGGTGAGTTACTTATAAGGTGAGAATAAAGAAGTTCAAAGTGTGGGAACAGTAAGTATGAAGAAATAGAGGTAGGAATTGCTGTGCTGGGTGGCAGTGGAGGGTGTGGTTTTAAGCTCAGCTTCAGTATCAACTGCCTCACTTCTGCCCCTTACTTATCTCATGTCACAGACCTCAGTTTTCCATCTGTTAAAGGTACATAGTACAAGTTCCTGTATCCTAGACCTGAGAGGATTGAGTGAGATGACACGTTAATACTAAGCACATAGTAAGTGCTTAGTAATTATCAGTTGATACTACTATTATTATTGTCATGTGCTTTTGTAAATTAACCTAAAAATGTACTGAATTGACCAATATTTTGGCACAGAGACAAATTGAAGAACTGGGCCTGTGGCCAGTTTGCTCAGTGGTTAGATAGAGCGTTAGCCCACAGACTGAAGGGTCTCAGGTTCAATTCCCAGTCAAGGGCATGTACCTGTGTTGCAGGTTCGATCCCCAGTCCTGGCTGGGGTCATGCTGGAGGCAACCATTTGATATTTTTCTCTTTCCCTTTGTCTCCCTCTCTCTCCCTCTCCTTCCCCCTCTCTCCCTCCCTACCTTCCTCCCTTTCACGCTCTCTAAAAATCAACAGAGGGTTAACAAAAATAAAAGACATAGAGATGTTACTCCTAGAAAATAAGTCATTTTCTTCTTAAAAGGTGATCTAACACTGCCCATGTTATAGTGTGGGCTTTCCTGTGTCTAGAGGTAATGAGAGGAATTTTCTGAACCTTTAGACATTCCACTGGATTCTCTTATAGCACATTCTGAAGCCCTTTTATTTTTTATTTATTTATTTATTTTTTTATCCTCATCCGGGGACATTTTTCCATTTTTTGTTCAGGTAGAGTGGGAGGGAGAGAGGAACAGAGAGAGAGAGAGAAACATCGATGTGAAAGGAACACATCGAGTGGCTGCCACCCGCACGACCGACCAGGGCCGGGGACAAACTACAACCGATGCCCTTTTATTTTTAATACAAAAGTTATAACTGTCTTGAGCAAGATTATTATTATTGCAGTTACCAGAAATCAGTCAAAAGCTTTTAAGCTCAGAAGAGAGGAACCTCTTTTGCTACAGGTCCAGGGGATTCTTGAAACCCTGGGGCCTCTGGTGCACTAGACTTGGGACAGGAAACGCCTAGAACCTATGGGCAGAAACTGTTTCCACTGTGTCCTCTGGGGCTACGTGGCTTCTTGGGTCCCATTCCCTCTGAGCAGCGCATTAATTCTTCCCTCTTTGCTGACTGGCTCTTCCCTATAGACTGAGCGCACACGAAGATGCTTGCAGCCTAGATTAGAACAGCTCCTCTTCATTGCAATTTCTAGTTCCAAGAGGAACAAATTGAATCTCTTTTTGGATTGTATGTCCAGCTTTGGCTAAAATGGGAGGAGTTTGGAGTTCCCAGAGTACAATACAACTTGGCATGGGCTTGAGAATTAAATAGGGCTGAGAAAAGAGTCACCATGGGCTAGGCAGCAACTCTAGGGAAGCAGCACCTTCTATAGTCTTGCTTCCCCCCCAAAAAAAGAAAGAGTACAGAAATTAAATGTATCCTTCTCATAACTTTAGAGAACATTCGAGTTGTGTGTCTCTCTCTCTCTTACTTTCTTTTTCTTGTTTTCTTCTCTCCCACATTTTTTTAAAAATCTTTTTAAAAAATCTTTTTTAAAAAATCTTTTAAAAATGTATATTTATTGAATGTTGGTTACATAGTAGGTGGTGAATGAATACAAGCTATCAAGTTTTATATTTCTGTTCTTAGACAATGTTCCACAGTCTACCTTTTAAACTATTTCTTTTTCTCTTTCTAAAACAAAATTAAGTTGCTGTTTAGGCAGTTTGGTGTACTGGCAAGGGAAATAAAATAGCACCAAAGGCCTCCGTCCAAATCCAGTTTCAAGCCATTTCTTTGCTGGGTAATCTTCAGCAAATCATGACCTCTCTGTTTGCTCGCTAGTAGTATGGAGATTATTATAATGGCTCTCTTGAACAGTGTCATTGTGAAGATAAAATGAATGAATACATACAAACATATGATAGTTTTTTCCCTACAAAAAAAAAAAAAAAAGATTTCTGACACTCTATTTTAAGTAGAGAAGTTACTATTTTTAAATGCTTATTTTTAGTAACTGGCACTACCATTTTCCTCTAAGAATAGGGTTTCTCTTAAGCATTTTTAAGGTATGCGGGCTGGGAAATGGTGAATTTTAAATGGCAAATACTATCTTGGGGCAATTTCATAGCAACCAAAATCTGATGACTTCCTTGAATACTTAGGAGATATAGCTGGAATGTCCTGATGGAAAACTGAAAAATAGCTTGACCAAGTGAAATAAGACTGAGCAGAGTCTAATCTGATGCTGGTTTTGTTCTGCCTCCACCTTAAGTATACTCTGAAGGAATCACCGTCCAAGAGGTGAACAGTATCTCTCACATAACATCTTTGTTTTTTTCAATCCTCACTCGAGAATATATTTTTTATTGATTCTGGAAAGAGAGAGAGAGAGAGAGAGAGAGAGAGAGAGAGGAAAACTTCCATGTGAGAGAGAAACACTGATTAGTTGCCTCCCATAAGCGCCCTGATGGGGGAGTGGAACCTGCAACCTAGATATGTGCCCTGACCAGGAATCGAACCCGACACCTTTTGGTTGTATGGGATGACACTCCAACCAACTGAGCCACCTGGCTAGAGCTCTAATATACCATCTTTACCAGCCATCTCTGTCCTGGTAGTTTGTAGCTTCCTTTGAGTGATTGTTGCATAGCTCTTCAATGCAAAAGCTCGGGACATACATGTTAAACAAAATAGTGGGTTTTATTGGAAATAAGTCAGAAAAGGACTGCTAAAATGGAAATCAGAGATAGGAGACTGTGAAGAAGTACAAATCTGGGGAAGAGAAACATCTGGCTTGTAAAAATTGTAGGAATGATAACTTGACTGAATGATTACATTATGAATAGCATTTTGTGGGTGAATAAAACTGAAACTGTCTAAAAAAGGGAGAGTGGAAGGATGTGAGCCAGGAATAACTTAAAAGCCAATAAAGATAATTATGAGTAAATATTCAAAACATGGCAGAGAATTTCATCCACTGACTTTTCAAGATGCTTTATTAGTATCTCAAACCATAGAAATATTTGACTTATCATCTCAGAGTTATGAAAATAAATAAAAGTTGATCAAAGCACTATTCCTGTCACATGACCTTGGTGATAGCCAGTGAGGATTATAGGGAGAGAAGTGTATTACTGGTGAATTTTTCATATGAAGTCAGCCTGCCTTGTGCTTTATACTTCAGCATCTGCTCCATAGCTGTATCATTGCCCATATTTGCTGTTCTACCTCTTCTTCTGCAAGTCAAACTTGAAAACCAGTTAAATGTCTAACTCTGGTTAATCTCCAGTTCCTTGACTCTTTAACTCAGTGATCCTTCTCAAATTAATTTAAATAGTAGCCACATTCTACTTGAAATGTACATGTACACATTACACAAAAATGTATAGATAATGGAACAAGTAATTTCCTTGTGCTTTTTAGGAAGATGGTTTAATTCAGTTTTTGTTTCCTGTTTGTAGTATTATGAATTGCTTTTATAAACTTTTAGATGATAAAGGATAGAGTGAGGTCTCTATGTAATAATCTCATTCAATGTATGTATGTTTTTTTTAAATCCGTGATTCTGACAGGTTTCATAGGAGCAGTATTTCTGAATAGCCATTTTAAAAATTAAGTGAAAACTCATTGATGGCAACTTATACACAATGACTTTAAACCCCAGGAGGCTTCTCTGTGTACATATGGAATAGTTATTTATTCTTAGTTTATTATAAATGTAGTCAATAAGTGCACTGTAAGAAAGAAAGAAAGAAAGAAAGAAAGAAAGAAAGAAAGAAAGAAAGAAAGAGAAAGAAAGAAAAGAGAAAGAAACTGAATTATGTTTGTTGTAAATTGATAAAGTGCCTCAAATTTTAACACTTTGACATTTCAAAGTACATAATAATTTTGGAACATCTGGTAACTAATGAGATAGTAGATTTCTGGTTAGCTTTACCCATCGTTTTATCCTTTTTCCTCTTTTTTGTTTGTAGATCTGAACAGAATTAAGAAGAAAGCATTTCCACGGATATAGCAGATGAAGAGCCCCTGGTAAACCAATCAGGAGTTTTACCGGCCCTCCAGAGAAAAGGTAACTGGCTGTTCCAACCTAGCACAACTGAAAACATGTGATGCTTCTGAGGATAATAGAGCAAGTCTTACTAAAGGATGATAGTTCTTAAATTTAAAGTATCTAAGTAAGGTCTCAAATTTTAAGCGTCACTCTGAATATGATCTTACTAACATGAAATGACAGTGAGTTTAGGAGTACAATATTATTAGCTGTTTTCTTTCCACAAGCATCATAGACCCAGTTCTTCAGACATACTCTCCAGGCCCAGTGCCTTTGCCCAGCCGCCAGATGGCTTTGTGCTCGTTACAGAAATAGCAGCCACCATTAGTTGTTTCTTACTACATGTTTGCCATTGTGCATTTACTGTTTGGGGAGAGGGTTGGCAAGTTTCACATAATGTGAAAAAGAGGAAAAATTCCTGGAGAATTTTTTTGTCCCAAAGATTCTTTTAATTTTGTGTTCTATTTTAAACTTACCAGACACTGATGAAAAATAACATTAAGCTTTCAACTATACAAACCACTTTGTGAAGTTACAGAAACCTGATTTGTAGAAATCCTGCACAGTCGAGCCTCAGGGCGCTCCCTCGCCCTCCTCTGGCCATTCTGCCACACCCCCGCTGTGCATTGTGGTGCAGGCGTGGAAATGTCACATCAGATGAGCCTTTTCCTGGAGGAATTTTTATTTAAAAAAAAATTAAAAGATTCATTTTTCCATCTCCTAAAAGCAATGAGGGGCTTACATTGAAGGATAAAACTAAACAGAAACCAAATAGGAAAGACCAGATGATTTTTAGCCTCTGAAATTTATCAGTTTATATATTCAGACAACAAATGCAATACCTCAATCAGATTTTAGTTAACTGTAGCAAAGATGGAAACATTTTGGACAACATGAATATGCATCTGCAAAGAAAACATTTTTACCCTTACCAGACAGAAACAGGAACATCAGGAAAGATGTGGCAGTTCTGTTTAGGTGTTTACAAGAACACAGTACTGGGCAGCTCTGAAGTCTCCACCTTCAAAATAGGCCCTTAAATTCTTCTGGCCTAAAGCTAATAGGGCAGCAATGCATAGGTTTACTTCAGTGATCATGTAGATTATCACAAAGGATGACATTCACTGTGGAATGTCTGGAAAGTTCCAGAGAAGAGAGAAGTAGTACTTTCCTACATGGTGGTCAGCAGCTGACAGTGGTGAGATTTGGGGAGAAGGTAGGAGTGAAACACTGGACAGAAATGCCAAAGGAGCACTTTAGTTCCTAACTGTTTATTGAGCTTCTACTAGGGATTGTCTTTGAGGAGGCAAATAGTAGGTGTTTTCCACAGACTACAAATATGACATCCTTTTTTTGAATACTGTTCTGATGAAAAGGTATTAACTCTTGATACCAAGAAGTCAATGACAAGGGGCAGGGGGAAAAAAAGTGTCACAAACTCAAGCCTGCAGGGACCAGACAGGTGGAAGAATGAAATGGGCCAGGTGAAACTGAGAAACTATCAAATTCATGACCAATCTAACGGGGAGCCACTTTTCAGTGCCAGCTGATTGGAAGCCCAATATTCACTCAACAGGTAGTTATTGCATGTCTGCCTTTACTCTTCTGTGCACTGGGAATCAATTAGTAAATCAAAGGGACAAAGTCCCTGCCATTGTGGCACCTACCTTTTAATGGAAGAAAACAGATAATAGATTGCAAATGCAGTAAGTAAATACATTATTCATTATACTGGACGATGATAACTGGTTAGAAATAGGTCAGAATAAGGAAAAGCAGGAGTGCTGATGAGGGGTGGGGCATACAGTTTTAAATAAGGGTGGTCAGGATAGGATCTTTTGAGGTGAGATCTTAGCATTGAGGGTGAAGGAGTGAACCACTGAGCTTTCTGGGGATACAGTGAACATCCAGTGCAAAGGCCTAAAGCAGAAGCCTGCCTGGGGGTTGTCCAAGCAATGGAAAGGAGAAGGCCAGAGCTGCGTGAGCAGGCAGGTGAGTGGGAGGAAACAAAGTCAGACAGGCACAAGACCAGCGCACACTGCCTCATAGGCCATGCAGGCCTTGGCTTGTACTTTGGGAGAAGTGGGAGGCCACTGGAATGTTGTGTGTACAGGAGTGACTTGATCTGACTTCTGTTTTAATGAAACCATTGAGGGTACTATACTGAGGCAGGCTGTAGAGGGCAATGGTAGAAGCAGTGAGGCCAGTTCATCTGTGGTTGCAATAACCCAGGAAGAGATGATGATGTTGCCAGACCTTCCAGATTTTTAAGGGAACTGAAATCTTGACTTGAACGATTTTCCTTGAGTTTTCCAAAGTTAGCAACTCATTTAAAAGAAGCAAACAGTTTGAGTCAATCTAAATAAGTCTGTGGGATTCTGACGTGTTGACAGTTTGCTACCTTGGGTATAGAAGTGGTGAAGGAATTTAGAGAAAGCTGAAGATTTTGGGTTAGGCTAACTTGGGGAGGGTAAGAGTTGATTTGAAGCTCACATGAAGGCTTGGCTTTGATTTGCACACGCAGCTGAAAGAAGGGAAATATAATGGCATGCAACTATTCACAGTATCCAAAAGGTGAAATAACCCGAATGTCCATCAACTGATGAATGGATTAAAAAACAAACTGTGGCCCTGGCTGGTTTGGCTCAGCGGTTAGAGCGTTGACCTGTGGTCCAGAGAGATCCGGGTTCAGTTCCCGCTAAGGGCACGTACCTCGGTTGCAGTTTGTCCCGGCCCTGGTTGGGTTGTGCGGGTGTGCGGGTGGCAACCACTCGATGTGTCCCTTTCACATCGATGTTTCTCTCTCTCTCTCTCTCTGTCCCCCTCCCACCCTATCTGAACAAAAAATGGAAAAATGTCCTCGGGTGAGGATTAAAAAAAAACAGCAACAAACAAACTATGGTATATGCACACAGTGAAACATTATTCAGCTGTGAAGAGAACTAAATTAGATTATAGATATATACTTCAACATAGATGAGCCTCAAAAACGATGCTAACTGAAAGAAGTCAGACATAAAAGTTCACATATCATATGATTTCAATTATGTGAAATATCCAAAGTAGGCAAAACTTTTGAGACAGAAGACAGATGTAGCTTCCAGGGGCTGGAGGAGGGATGGGAGTTGAAGAGTGACTGCTTAATGGGTACAAGGTTTCCTTTTAGGGTGATGAAAGTGCCCTGGAACCAAATAGTGATAATGGTTGCACCACATTGTGAATATACTACAGGTCACTAAGTTGTACACTTTAAAATTGTTAAAATGGTAAATTTTATGTTATGCGAATTTTATCTCAATTTTTAAAAATTGCAAGTGGAAAAACATTTTAGGGATATGTATTTTATGTCATTGTTAGCCAGAGTGGAGTCTTTGTAAGGGGGGAGTGAAGAGTGAGAATGCTATAAAATGGATGTTTGGCCAGATAGTGAAAGGTGTTGACTGCCAGGCCAAGAGTTTAGAAGCTCTTCTTTTGGCAGCAGTGAAAGATGAACTATAAGGAAGAAGGAAACCAGCCTCTGGGTTTCAAAGGAAAGCGAATGGCCCTGGCTTAGTCAGTCTACGATACTGCACTCATGTGGTTGAATTTTGTGACAGTCTCACAGAAGTCTCAAACAAAATTAGAATTTCTTCTTCTTTTAAAAAATATCCTTATTATAGTTCCTGATTATAAAACTTCGTGATTAAAAAAAAAAATTAACTATGTCAGGCGATGGATGTGTCAGCTAATTTTATATATATATATATATATATATATAAAACCACATTGTATACTTTAAATTTATACAATGTTATATGGCAACTATTGTTCAGTAAAGCCAGAAAAATTTAAATATTATATGAACATATATGTTAATAAACAGTCCTTTTAATTATATTCTTTCACTTCCTGCTCCCCATAAATCCAAAGTTATCTAGACTGTTTTCTATGTATAAACTTATCATCATCATAATTATTTGCTTTTTCACAAAAATAGGCATGTACTATGCATTTTGTCTTTTTTTTAAATCCTCACCTGAGAATATATATTTTTTTCATTTATCTTCAGGTAAGGTGGGAGGGAGGGAAGAGGAGGGAGAGAAACAAACATCGACGTGCGACCCTGACCAGGGCCTGGATGAACCACAACCAAGGTACATGCCCTTGGTGGGAATTGAGCCCACAACTCTTTGGTCTGCAGGCCGACCCTCTAACCACTGAGCAAAACCATCCAGGGCTACTATGCATTTTGTATGTTGCTTTTCAAAAACTCATATCTTGGCTTTCTTTCCACTTTTTTATTTTGGATTGCTACATTATATGCTATACTTTTCATTTGTTAAAAATAAAAATTGAAGAGCAAATACCATTTACTTCTTTTTTTTCCCCCTCACCTGAGGACATTTTCCCACTTTTGTTCAGATAGAATGGGAGGGAGAGAGAGTGAGTGAAACATCGAAGTGAAAGGGACACTTCGAGTGGCTGCCTCCCCATACGACCCTAGCCAGGGCCAGAGACAAATTGCAACTGAGGTACGTACCCTTAACCAGAATTGAACCTGCCACCCACTGGTCCGCTTACTGATGCTTTAACTGATGCCAGGGCCCATTTACTTCTGTATTAAGAGGATGAGGTGTCATAAAATATAAAATGTAGCTAACACTTAATGAGCAGTGAGCACTTACTATGTATGTTTTCTAGCATTTAAATTCATTGACTCCTCAGAACAGCCTGATGAGGTAGATACTGTTATGATCCTCCTTTTACAGAGAAGCTAACTGAGGCAGAGATGAAACATGTCCAGAGTTAGGCAGTGGCACAGGTGGGCCCAGGACCAGCTTCAGTTGCAACTGGTGGTTGTCATGAGGGACCTGTGGGCAATAGTGTGAGATCGCAGAGATTTTTTTCAAGGGAAGTCAATCTGGAGTTTTGTGTGAAATTTGCCAAATTTTAATGTTAGCTTTAAAAAAAATAGCTTTATTGAAATATAATTCAAATTTACTCATTTAATAGTTTTTAGTATATTCATGATGTTGCTCAACCATCTATCGCCTCTGTCTAGGTCCAAAACATGTCCATCACCCCCAAAGGAGACCCCGTTTCCATCTAGCAGTCACTCTTCACCTTCTCCTCTCGCCAGATCCTAGAAGCCACTCATCTGCTTTCTGTTTCTATGGATTTGCCTATTCTGGATATTTCAAATGGAATCATAAAATAGGTGACCTGTCTGGCTTCTTGACTTGGCTTGAGGTCATTCATGTTGTAGCATTCCTTTTAGTAGCTGAATACTGTTCCAGTGTTTAAATATACCACATTTTATTTATTCATCAGTTGATGGACACTAGGGTTGTTTCCACCTTTTGGCTCTTGTGAATGATGCTATTACGAGCATTGGTGTGCAAGTATCTCTTTGAGCCCCTGCTTTCAGTTCATTTGAGTATATACTTAGAAGTGGAATTGTTGGATTATATTGTAATTGTTTAACCTTTGGAGGAACTGCCATACCTTTTTTTCCACAGGGGCCTACAAATCCTACCAGCAATTCATAAGGATTTCAATTCCTCCACATCCTCACCAACACTTGTCTTTTTTTTTGTTTGTTCGTTCTTGCTTACTTAATAGCCATTATAGTGGTGTGTAGTGATATCATGGTTTTGATCTGTATTTCTCTAGTAACAAGTGATGGTGAGCAACTTTTTTGTTTGTTGGTCATTTGTATTATTTTCTTTGTAGAATTATCTATTGAGATCTTTTGCCCACTTTAAAATTGGATTCTTTTTTTTTTTTTTGAGTTGTATTCCAGATACAAGTCCCTTATCAGATATATAATTTGTACAGATTTTTTTTCATTCTATGTATTGTTTTTTCACTTTTTTGAAGGTATTATTTGAAACACAAAAGTTTAATAATTTTGATGACGTCCAATTTATGTTTGACTCTTTTTAAAGAAATACCTGGGCCCTGGCCAGTTTGGCTCAGCGGTTGGAGCGTCGGCCTGCGGACCAGAGAGTCCTGGGTTCGGTTTCCGCTAGGGGCACGTACCAAAAAACAAACAAACAAACAAAAAGAAATACCTGGTAAACTGGATTCTAGGTGACTAACCATCACTTGTGATTGCTGCTGATGCCACATCCCCCAGAAATCATTCGGAAACAAATACCCCTGTTGTTCTGAAGTGGAGAAGGGCAAGAAGCTCTGGAAAGGAGCAAAGGTAAATTTCTCACTTGTAGCAATATTGTTTCAGTTCACTTTTTCTGCTCCTGAAGTTCCTTAGCATAGAGCAGTTTGGTGAGTAGTAGGAGGATGTGGAGAAGGAAGTAGAGAAAGGAGTAGAAAGCGGAGAAGATCAGGGTCTCTGGGTCCTGGAGATCTTAGGCGATCAAAAAAGAGGTTAAAATAGATTGAACAGGTTAAAATAAAAGGTCGGAAACATTGCCTTGAGTCATAGATGGTGTCATTTACAATCAGGGCCATGCTTCCCTGGCAAGGGCCAGGATCACAGCTCAGTGGCCACAAGAGTAAGCAGCAGGGGCCATGAGGGTGTAGTAATTTTATGTTCCTGGGAAGAAAGCTTGAGGGACCATTTAGAAAATGATTTGGGTTAAGGTCTCTTGTTTATATAAGAAAATATGTGTTTCGGTCGGGCATTGAAGACATGGAACTATATTCATTCATCATCCATTCACATGTTAATGAAAAACAGTTAAATCTGCATACTATTTATCTTTACCAAGAAAAGGAAGGTTTTATTTTAGAGGTGGAAATGGGATGCAAGCCTTTGTGGGACAGTGTGCCCTTTGGGAAGCAGTACAAACCCAGATGGCCTACTAGATCAGGGTGCACGAAAAAAAATATAGAAAAGTGAGGGGGGTGTTGTTTGCTGCATCTGTGACCTGAGAGCTGGAATTTTGCTGAGGAAAGGGGAAGGAATGCTCAGTGCTCTTCCTTCCCTCTTGTGCTAACACCCCTGCGATCTTCGTCGAGAGTTCAGCCTTAACACACTTGGCAGACCAACTTGGGGACCTGGTACCCACAGATCTTATGGTTTGTGGGGAGGTGAGTTCCAAGTTCCAAATAACACCCTTATGTTGGGAATGCAAACTATTGATCTCTGGCAGAATAAGCATAGATCTCATTGCCGTCTTGATTTCAGAGCGTGTACTCTTAACCCCAATATATGAAGTCCTATGATTTAAAGGTGGGATGAGTTCCCATATTCTTAGTAAAAGGGATCAGGGAAGATTTTCTTAAAGAACTGGAATTTGCAGAGGACTTGATTAAACAGTAGGGTTTCAGCCAAGGGAAGAAAAGTGTTATAGATGGAGTAACCTGTATGAACAAAGGCTTGGGAGCTGGAATCTGGAGTGGGAAACATGTTTGATGCTATGAATCAGTCATTTTGGCTGAACTGTAGAGTGCCTGCTAGAGGGGACACTTAGATATGGTAGGGTTGGGGCTGGAGCACTCCTTGAATGCTAGGAGAGAAGTTTTTATTGAACTCAGTGTGGTCAATGGAGAGCCCCCAAAAGTGTTAGAGCAAGGACTGACATAACTAAAGCCATACTTCAGCTCTGCAAGACTGATCTGATAGTGTAACGTAGATAAATTAGAATTGGGACTTACCATGTGACAGGCACTGTGCTAATAATAGTTAACATTTATAGGGTGCTTTTGCACTATTAACTTTCTTAATATTCTCATAAAGCTGATATCTCTTTCACTTATTTTGTATATGAGGAAAAAGGCACAGAGAGGTTAAATGATTTACCCAGAGTTACACAGAAGTAAGCAGGAGAATTGGGATTTAACCTGGGCACATTGGCTCTAGAACCCATGCTCTTAACTGCTGAGCCCATCAGATGGTGATATTCACAGTCAGTTCAGTGAAAGCTGTATGGGTACAAAGGTGACATAGGAATTATTTTTAACAGTGTGTTTAATTTTGCATTTTATTGTATCTGAGGCAGTGTACTGGAACTCGAAATAGTCAGCCTCTTTTTATAGCTAAATGTTGGCCCAACTTTTCCATTCCTTTTCTATAACTTAATCCTTTCTCTCTATTTTTCAAAAACTACTTTACCTGAAGGCTTTAAATGAAGATTTTAAATCAAGGTTGTCAGTAGTTAATAAAATGCAGGCCAGTATTAAATTCCTAGAAATATTTAGGCATTATTCAGTTTAAAGTTACAATTTATTAGCTTTTATGTATATATTTAATTTTTTTTTCTCTTTCAGTTTTCTATCACTGGTGAATGTTTCTTTGGGAGAATTTATATGTAGCTACACAAATAATGATTAGGAAAACAAACTAAAAATCCAAAGCTTTGAACTTCTTGACAACTGAAACGTGTGTAGAATGAATACATGTACGGGTTAAGCCTTGAAAAAGATAATTACCTTCATCGTTCAGTCCCTACTTTTGCAGCTATTCCTATTATTCCTAATTTTATACTTGATTGTCAGCAATTCCAGCCACTGAGCTGATGAATTCAATTTTCTCCTTCCACTGTTCTCCCCCTACTGGAATACTGATGTATTTATGACAGTCTGTATGGTACAATATTTCACTACAGGAACACAGTTAAAGAAGGGCCTTGCCTGCCATACCCCATATGCAGAAGAGAGCTGTGCTCAGAGGAGGGAGAAAGGATATGAACACAGGCTCAGCCAATTTTAGGAGGAAATAAAGAAACCAAAGCCAATACATTTCTAATTCAGTGGATCTGAGTTTCTTGTTACTCAAATGAAGGCAGTCCTTTGGGGTTGATAATGGAGAATCTCTGTTACCAACCCTGTAATTTGCACTGATAAATATACTGTAGTTGCTGGTTTTCAAGTTTATTACAATGTTGTCTTGGGACTGGTGGGTTTTTTCCTAAATAAAAGACTGGTTGTGTGGGGTCTTGCATTTTAGAAAAAATTTGGAAAGTTTCAGCCATTTTACATTAAACCAGAATTAAAAATTGGAAAGATCAGCCATTTTTTTCACTTAGTGATGCCTTGGGCATTTGAACAAAGCATTTTACAAGTGAATCTGTTGTGCAAATAATCATTCTTGTTAAGATAGACCTTGTTACCCTTGACACCTACTGGGAACATCCCTAAATTTGGATGGTGAAGTAAGACCATATTTTAAATACATCCCTGGAAGGGATGAAATAAATGCTCAGAACTTGGCAGCATTTCACTTCTGACAGCCTAGTTCTTAAGTCACAAATAATCTAATTGGTGGTTACAGCTTTTCCATAAGAGCATTTTGATGAATTAAATGTTTTCCCCTACTTCTTACTCTTCTCATGTCCTCAGTGAAATTACTATATAGTGTTCACCCTGGTGCCTAGCAGAGTGCCTGGTATGTGGTAGGCAATCAAGAACCATTCAATAACCTGAGTCCTCATTACTCAAACTTTATAAAACATACCACTTATCTGTGCAGACAAATCCCGAAGATCCTCAGAGTTACAAGACATCAGAAGTGCACTGACAAGAGAACTGATTGATCATATGCAAGGCACACTGCTATATTAAAATAATTACATTGCATAAATGTAAATAGTATTGGGTCATTTTCTTTTTATATTTTTGAGTGTAGAGGAGGGGTATTTAGGTAAGAATTCATCAGGTTCTTTATTATGGTCTGATAGGTAAAACCAGATGTTTGTACTCTTATTTATAGACAGTGCCCTTTGTGTATGGAGCACTTTTAAAATGTTGCCCAAATTTAAGTATCAGAGCACTGTACTTTCTCAGCCAGCGGTTTGACTTTTGTTGTTGACTCATTCAAACCTTTGGGAAATCCAGACCAATTATGGATGTCAGAAACTTCCTGATCTAGAAGGGATAGGATTTATGGATGAAGAGAGTATAGTAAAATGTATTAGTTATAGCAGAAGAGATTGGTGGGAAGATGTTAGGAATTGCCTGTCATTCTCTTGGTCCCCACATCTTCAACTTGGTAATACATTTCTCAGATAAGAATTGATCTGAATTGTTTGGCTTGATATAGAACACCTTATTTATAGTGTTTATTTTTATTTTTGTTAATCCTCACCCAAGGGTATTTTTTCCATTGATTTTTTTTTTTTTTAGAGAGAGGGGAAGGGAGGGAGGGAGAGGCAGAAACAGAGAGAGAGAGAGAGGGAGGGAGAGGTAGAAACAGAGAGAGAGGGAGGGAGGGAGAGGTAGAAACAGAGAGAGAGAGAGAGAGAGAGAGAGAGAAACAGAAACATCGATGCAAGAGAGACACATAGATTGGTTGCTTGACCGGGGCCAAGATCAAACCTGCAACCCCTTAGTGCGCAGGCAGTTGTTCCAACCACTGAGCACACTGACCAAGGCTATAATGTTTGTTTTGTGTTAAATGTCATAGCAGCTGCTTTCCGTGGATTTTTTTCATGTACTCCTCAGAAGAAGCCTGGCTTTAACTCTGTTTTAAACTGGAGTGGAGGTAAGTTAGGTAACTTGTTCAGGTTACACAGCTTGCAAGTAGAAGAGCCAATATATGAACCCAGAAAGAATTCATAGGGACTCACTCCAGAGCCCTCCCTCATTTTCATTTGTAAATTTTTAAGTAATACAACTCCTACCTTACATGATTGTGAATATTAACTGCAACAATGCAGTAAGGTACAATGGCATTGCTAGTGGGTACTCAATAATTGATAACTGCTATTATTAATAATTTCTCTTAATAACTATCATAATGCTAACAGGATACTTAGTATTTTTCATTTTAAGCTCTGTTGTGTTTTCTTTATTAAACCAGTCAAAAACTTTGAAGGAAAAAATAAAAGGTAGCAAGCAGGGATAAGGAGAGAAGTTGAAGTATTATATAAATTGCCACCCTGACCCCCCTTTGGGTAGAAATCATATTCGTGAATCTTGAAGTATTTTCACATGTAAAAAGGGGGAAATCAAGCAATGTCTTGAGGAAGTGGGACTGTACTTCATGTTGCCATTCTTCCCCTTATTCTCCTTCTCACCCAGTCTGTACTCAGTAGACAAGCTCCATTTGGTATCCGTATAGTTGGGTGGCCTTAAGCTTTTCTTTTTAGGGGCAGTGCCAAATGCCATTAAAATCCAAATTTCAATTAGCTTAAGTGTGGAATGACAAAATTCAAAGTAATTCATAAACTGTGTATTTTAATCTAGGAAAACAGAGAAGTTGGATGTTTTTATGTAATTCTACAGTTTGTCAGTGATTTGGGGAGAATGAAAAATTAAAAGTCTGCATTGGGGACAAGAGTTAGGAATACTGTTGTTACCAAGGGAATTATATATTTTACTCATGCATTTTTTCTCAGTGGTACCTTTTTACTAGGTTAAAGCTTTAGAAATGAATTTTTATAATTTCAGTTGTTTCTACTACTATTGGTTATTTTGTTTTTACTACTACTTAGATAAGTTTAGGAAGCATCCATAATTTCACTTTTTGAAACTTATGTCTTACATGCAATCCAGAGGAAAATTTACTTATTTGTAAATCTTTTTAAAATAAAAAATTTATGTATTATTTTCTAAAGCTTTTAAATTTTGAAATTAAACTTTAAAACAAACCCTTTCCACAACAGCCCTGTGTTGAGTTTAGGTGCAGTAACAATTCCTTATTATTTTTTACTCTTATTTAAACATTTTTATGTTTCTCTGAATTGGACTGTTTCTTTAGCAGAGAAATTGGCCACCTCTGTCACAGCAGATGTCCTACATAAAAAACATGAATAAACCTGCTTCCTCCCTACCTAGAGAAAGCACCTGTGAGCACGCAGCCAAGACACACGTGCCACAGGAGTACTGATATTCGTGCTATGTGAAATTATCAAAATCCTTGTTTGTCTCAGGCTTCAGATTTTCACACCGTCGCATACTCTATAATCTTTTACTATCTTTACTTATCACTGAAGCAAAAGCTTTGGGCTGTGTGTGTGTGTGTGTGTGGTTGGGAAGGGTGCTTTATTTAGTGACGTTAATCTGACAAAACTATCTTCTAAACATTTTCCAGGAATGCTGTACATTGCCCTAAATCCCTGGGTTCCAGCCCTGACTAAGCAAAGAGGGAGAGACTAATAACTTGAATTCAAAGTGAATCAGATTTCTAAATGGCAAGATTTTTAAAAATTATTTTTGGGGTGAATGAATCACTTCCAGGAGAAATAGAATGGGAAATAGAGAAAGTTGGCAACCGATTCCCCTCGGTCTCTTTCTCCTACACTCCATCTTACAGCTATTACATGGTCTCCTTTTTGCTGGACTGAAGTTCAAGTCCCCCAGACACCCGCTGTGACCTCCAATGGTGGGCCTCGAGCAGACACCTGGAACGTCACCTGGGCCGCATTTCTTTGCTTGCCGGTGGTTTCCTGCACGCCAGGCGTCCGCTCGGCGGCGGTGGCTTCCCATTCATGCTTTTGACAGCTGCTCGGCTGCCCGTGTGTGGAGAGTTTAGTGATCCCTGCACCAGCCCCTGCGCCCCCTGGTCCGGACCCCGGGCCGGAGGGCCAGACGCCGACCACACTCGGCGGTGCCCCGGGGTCGGCCGCCCGGCTCCTCCATAGGTGGCTGCGTTTCCGACTTCGCCCTGGCTCCACTCCGGGGGCTTGACGTGCAAACTTCGCCGGAGCGAGCTGAGAGGGAGGGACCGGCGAGGGGGAGGAGGCGGCGGGAGGCGCCTCTGCTTAAGGGAGCCAGCCGGGTGCCGCCGCTTGGACGGACGCGCGGACGGAAGGGCCCGGGCCGGGGATGCGAGCGGCCTCAGGGTGGGCAGCCGAGGGCCGGGGCTGCGTTTCGGGCCTCCCCGCCGCGGACAGTGGTGGCGGGGCGCGGGCAGCTGCCGGCGCTGGCCTCCATGCCCGGTCTGGCGGCAGAAGCAGGCAGGGGACCCTGCGCCGCGGTGGCTGGCGGCCGGCGGCTCGTCCCCTCCCCCGAGGGGCCGCAGGGAGGCGAAAGCGAAAGCGAGCCCGCGCAGCGGACTTTGCGCCCGGGGCGGGGGGTGGCCCTGGGGGAGGCGGGCTGGGCGGCCGGGGGCCGCTGTCAGCGCGCCCCACCCGGCCCGCGGGCCGCGCACGCCGCCGGAACTCCCCGGCGCCTCCTTAAAAGCGGCCCCCGCGCGACTCTTTTCCCCCTTTTTTGTTACATTGTAGGAGCGGAAAGAATGTCGGAGCGGGCCGCGGATGACGTCAGGGGGGAGCCGCGCCGAGCAGCAGCGGCCGCGGGCGGAGCAGCGGCCGCGGCTGCCCGGCAGCAGCAGCAGCCTCCGCAACCCCAGCGGCAGCCTCCGCCGCCGCTGCGGCGCCTACGGCCAGAGGACGGCGGCTCCGGGGCCGCCTCCACCTCGGCCGCCGTCGCAATGGCGACCGTCGGGGAGCGCAGGCCTTTGCCCAGTCCCGAAGCGATGCTGGGACAGTCGTGGAATCTGTGGGTCGAAGCTTCCAAACTTCCTGGGAAGGACGGTGAGTGTCCACGCCCTCCTCTTCCCCACGCCCCCTGCTCCCCTGCCCTCTGGCCCGTCCCCTCCCCCCTCCCCTGTGCTGTGACCAGCCCCCTCGGGGGTCAGAGATGCTATCGCTCGGTTGGGTAAGGCAGAGGTGCCCGCACCTATTCCGTGCGTGCGTGAGCCTGCGTCACACTCCTGGCCACTGACCTGCCTCTCCCCTCCTCCTGTGTGTGTGTATCTCCTAGGGACGGAATTGGACGAAAGTTTCAAGGAGTTTGGGAAAAACCGAGAAGTCATGGGGCTCTGTCGTGAAGGTGAGTCCAGCCCCCTTGAAGGAGTTTGTGCAAGCCCGGGGGAGTTTTCTTGCTGGCTTCACCAGGGCAGGGAACTCTGCCCACCTTACCCACTCCTCCCTGCCACGCGAGGATGCTGCTGGAGGAGGAAGAAGAGGGAGTATTGATGGAGCATTTGGAAAATCTGGATTCTGGGGGCTTCCTGTGAGGGGAACGTCCTGAAACCCTCCAGTGGAGGCCTAGTGCGGTGCAGCAGCGAGCTCAGTGGTGAGCGCTGGGCACCTGCAGTGAATTCAGTTGTGACCTCCTTATGGAGAAACACCAGTGGAGGAAGGAATTCTCCACTTCCGAAAGCATTTCCGCAAAGGGGCTCTGGACAGGAAACCTGACCACCTAAAATTTTCTGCTGGCAATCAAAATGAATATTGAACTCCAAAAAAGATAACACTTATTTTTATGGAATTTAAATTACGAAAGTTCAACATGATCATCACACCTGGGGAGCGCTTGGTCAGAATTTTTTGGTGAGCTGTCAAAGGAAAAAAGGCCATATGGTGAAGAAAGTCTGTAGTGCCCTAAAGGTGAAGTTAGTCTAATTATTGGTCAGGTTTTTTCAGTCCTCAAATATTTTTTATTGGAAGGCCATGCATTGCCTTCATTCAATGTATTTCAAGTCGCTGTACATTTACTTCAACTCTTTGATCGAAGGATGCTCTAGGGAAATTCTGTAGCTAAAGGCGTTCCTTCCAATGAAAAGTCAGGTCAGCTATCTAAACTGTCAGATTTCCTTCAGATTTCTTTTTTATTTTTTTTTGAATAGTCACCTTTGCTGTCTAGTTAATGCCTGTGCCAGGTCTGGACACTAGCCAGAAAGGACTTCTGGAGGCCAGTCAACTTTAGGTTCAGTTCAAGTTTTTGTTTGTTTTTTGTGTTTTTTTTAAGTAGCATTATGGACAGACCTTGAATGAAATTTGGTATCCAAAATATAGATTTTATATTCTATGCAATTTTATTTTTCATGTGTAGGCATTTGTTTTGGCATAGTTATTGTCCAGGGCACAAAAATAGGTAGAACTTTGGCAAGTGGAACATATTAAAGTCCAGAGTTGGTCCATTGTTACTGTCTTCACATTTATTTGTTTTAGTGCCTGTCTTTTCTTCACATTGGTTTTTTGAATTGGCCACTTGTTGGCCTCTTGGCACTAGGAGGAGGAGTAATTCCATTGGCAGCTCTCTCTGAGAGCTTCCAATTGGAACAGATTATAGAGCAAATTAGTTGATTTTGAAAATGAGAATTACTGTTTGCAAGCAAAGGAAAAAGAGGGAAAGCACAGGACTTGCTGGTGATGTTGCAATAGGAAAAGTCAGTTGTTAGTCCGGTTTTAGTGTTGAATTGGCAACTTGCCTGGGCTTAAAAAATTAAAATCACTAGGTGGCAACTCTCATAGGAAGCAGTTGGAGTAGAGCTTTAGAGGACCTGACCCGCTCGTGTTCTTAGTTTTCATTCTCTGGGTGTGGATACATTTCCCATAAAGAGTTTCTAAAACTGTGTGAAAACAGTGTGCTAATTATTGGTAATTTCTCTTTTGAGGATGAGTAAGTGTATTAGTGTTTCACTGGGCAACTTGGTCTGGACTGACACCCAATTAATTTAGTGGTCTGGACACAGTTTTTGTTGTATTTGCTATTTTCTACTGGGAGATAATTGCTAGCAGGTTATGTCATGAAGATCTAAGACCTCTTAACTACCTTCTTGATGCATAGAGGGTAATAGATTTGGTTGTATGTGCTTCTAAAATTACTAGTGATTATTAGCGGTGCCTTTTTTTTTTTTTTTTTTTTTTTTTTAACTGCTCTAACCATTCAGGTGATGCTGAGGTGGCTAGCTCTACTGAAACTCTACCTGCCTGTTTGGGAGTAGAGACTGACGTTTTTAATTCAATCAGGTTTTGATTCATTTGTGACTGGATTTTCTGGGATTGTTTGTTTGTTTGTTTGTTTTTTATCCTCACCCGAGGACATTTTTCCATTTTTTGTTCAGGTAGAGTGGGAGGGAGAGAGAGGAACAGAGAGAGAGAGAGAAACATCGATGTGAAAGGAACACATCGAGTGGTTGCCACCGGCACAACCGACCAGGGCCGGGGACAAACTGCAACCGAGGTACGCGCCCCTAGCGGGAACCGAACCCGAGTCTCTCAGGACCGCAGGCCTACGGCTCTAACCGCTGAGCCAAACCGGCCAGGGCTGTTTGTTTGTTTTTAACTTTGTGAGCCAGCAGGCCCAGCGGCCACCCCCACTCCACCCCTATTCTGGGACAGTTTAAAAATCCAACCATGAGAAGAAGGTTCAGCACTCATGCAGTGGGCCTTTGTTTTTGTAACAAAGTGCTCATGTCAGGCTGCTTAAAAAATGAAAATACTTTTTTAAATTATCAAACATTATTAGACAATTATCGTTTGACTTTGCTTATGATTACTTCCTACCAGGAAAAGGTGTTTTGGAATTACATCTGTATTAAATTCCTCTTGTTAAGGAGGCTAAATTGAGAAGAAATATGTAGATAACTTGATCATATGAATGAACTATTAAAAGTCAGAAACTCTCCATCTTGGAAAATATTTAGGAATATGGACTAGACTTCTTGAATTCTCCTCTAGTTCATGATTGGGGACCTGTGTTAGAAACCTGGGTGTGAAAGGATGCTTGACTTTGAATTAGTTATTTCACCTCTTAGAATCTAGCTTTCCCTGTTTCTAAAAAGAGATGATAATACCTACTTCCCAAGGTTGTTGTAGGGGTTGAAATTAAATTAAATAATGCGTTGAAAATGATTCTACATACTTCTTTCAGCTGCTGATAATCTGAGACCTGATTTCCTAATTTGATATTTATCAAGGTCAGGGGTTTTTAACCTGGAACTTGAATGGGCTTCAGGGGGTCATAGTTACCCTGAAATTGTATGCAAAATAGTATATATATATATATATATATATGCCCACTTTCTAGGGAAAGTGTCCACAGCTTCTCTTGGATTCTCAAGGATGCTTCACATTCTCTGCTCCCCAAATTTAAAACTGTTAACCTAAGATCTCTGTTTTTTCTCTCTCTCTCTCTTTCCTTTGGTCCCTTATTTTGGCCATTTTCTTCATGGCAAGACTGCCTAATGGTTAATGCTGTGGGAGAGGTTGGAATTATTGATATATGAAAGTGAGATTATTTATGGTTTAGCTGTTATATCTATCATTTCCTCTTTCCATTAGCGTAGGTAGGCAAATGTTAGGATAAAATTTCAGTTATCTTTCAGAAATCAACCCATTTTTCATCTTTATCTTCATACTTTTATTGCCTTGTTTGTTTTCTTCTGTAATTTGTAACATTAGTTGATTTAGGTGGGGAAATTGATAATACATTTGACTTCTTTCAAATGACTGAACTCAGAAGATGAATTACCTTTCTTTCCCTGTGATTTGTGAAGTTCTAGAGTCCACAGAATGATGTTTAGAAATTGATTGGTATAAGTAGCTGATTAAGATTTCTGTATTAGTGCCTGAACCTATAGGAAGCCTATAAAAATGAAAACATTAAATGGTTTAATTTCTTGGCAGCTTTAAAAAACTATATGGTGTCTCTGTGGGAGTCAACAGTGTAATTGGAAAATAATATCTTCTAAATTCTCTTAAGCCTATTGCACACTATCAGAGTAGCCTGTCCTTTATCTTTTTCCAGATACTCTACCTATCACCATGTGAAGGCATGTAGTATATGATGGCCTTTCATTAGATTGTAAGCTCCCAGAGGACATGTACTTGGCTGATTGACATACGAGGTAGGGCATAAGTAGGTTTACAGTTGTTCCTATACAATAATTTAAAAATTATTAATACAAAATAATACAATAATAAATAACATTTATTATTATTCTTATATTAAAGAATAAAATCTGCGTTTGGCATACTCACAACTGTAACCCTACTTTTGACCCACCCTGTATTTAGCTCCCGCACACTGATTGTGCTCAGTAAATATTTGCGCAAAAGATGAATGAATTGGGCTATCAGAAAGATTGAACTGAGTCAGTCAAAGATGAGGGGTTCAAGTGACCAATTTTCTATTATATTGTGACTCTTCAAGTCAGAGTGGAGAGGTTCTTTATGGCCCCAGAGGAGGCCAGAGGCTGTCTGTCAGCACTTCCTGTCACTGTCTCTGTCCTGAGTTTAGCACTCCATTTACACTTTCTAGAAAGAGTGCAGACAGGACATCAGCCTCTCTTATCTCTGATAGTTGGGCAAGAGCATAAGATGGCAACTCAGGATGATGTCCACACTTGATGACAGGTGATTTTTCGTCGTAATAACAGGGACATAATTGAGCCTAGGGCAAGATGGAAAGGGGGCTGGTTTGCACATACAGGCAGGTAGGTTAAAAAAAAAAAAGACTGAGGAGGTAGGTAGCTTCAATCAACACAGACTGAGTCAACATAACAATACCACCTTTTTCTTTCCTAGGTTAAAAAAAAAAATTGCTGCCCTGGCCGGTTTGGTTCAGCGGTTAGAGCGTCGGCCTGCGGTCCTGAGAGACCCGGGTTCGGTTCCCGCTAAGGGCACGTACCTCGGTTGCAGTTTGTCCCCGGCCCTGGTCGGTTGTGCGGGTGGCAGCCACTCGATGTGTTCCTTTCACATCGATGTTTCTCTCTCTCTCTGTTCCTCTCTCTCCCTCCCACTCTACCTGAACAAAAAATGGAAAAATGTCCTCGGGTGAGGATTAAAAAAAAAAAAAAAAAATTGCTAATAGTTAACTGAAAACAAATACATAGGTGTTTGTGTGAAGTACTATTAAAATAACTACATTACAGGCATAAAACCCTCTCCCTGAAGTTAAGAGAATTTTTATTTTTCTCTAGGGTTCCTCTTATGTTTTCCCCCTAACTTTTTTTGTGTGTGGACAATTTAAAATATACAAAAGTAGAGAAAATACTTTAATGAGCCAATCTCCTTGTATCCATCATACAGCTTAAACAACTG